CCGAACTTCTCCGAGTAATATTTGGGCCCTGAGGAAACAATGGCCCATGCTACTAACTCAACTCACCTCGTTCGCTGTTTTCTCTTTCTTTTGGATTAAACACAGGAACGCCATAGCTAGCCTTTGTGTTTTCCTCAATCCCTAAAACCCTAACCACCCACCATTTTTTGTTTTCCAGTTGAAATAGTTCAGAATGGTTTGGTTTCAGTGTGAAGATTGTGGAGACAATCTGAAGAAACCCAAATTGGCAAACCACTTTCGAATTTGTTCTGCTTTTAAGGTGTCTTTTTTTTCCATACTCAGATTGATTCTGACTGCAATTACGAATTCAAGTTAACTTATTGTTTATTTTTTTTGTGTTTTCTTAAGCTATCTTGCATTGATTGTGGAGAGATTTTTAGTCGTCAAACTGTTGAAACTCACACCCAATGCATCTCTGAAGCGGTAATATTCTCTGCCTCTTTTATGTTCCAAAGTTAATTGTGCCATAACTTGTCCTACCCAAATTCTGATGCTTCAGCTTCTATGTCTGATCCGAGTGCTAATTTTTGTATCTGGAATATTTGCAAATGGTGTCGTGTTCCATAGGCCATACCTATCTTTCTAAATTAGTAGCTGAGTGCTTAATCGACAAAATGATGGCCGTCATTCTCGCTCTAGTTGCAAATTCTTTGTAGAGTTAGTTACTAAATGTTTCATGTATAATTTCATCTACATGTGTTTGAAATATGGCAGAAAATACTTTCCTATTTCCATTGATGAAATTATATTCCAGTGTTTGGTTACCGAAAAAATATTCTCTTTCTCAGTAATGAAATCATTTTCCATTGTTTGGTTAAGGGAAAATAAGTTCCATTGAAAGGGGAAATATGACATGCCTGCAAATCATTTTCTGTTCCAAATATCACAACTCTTGTGTTTGGTATGATGCAAAAAGTTTTATACGGAGAATAATTTCCTAGAAAATGTTTTCTTGGAAAACAAGTGGATTTTTGGCTTAGTTTCTAGTGTTTGGTAAGTAAACAAGAAAATACTATCCTAAGAGCATTTATATGATATCTAGCAAAACACTATAGAGGCGGGAATGAGATGGGATGGGGAGTGGGGATTCGGAGGTGGATGGTCAAGGAAGTGGGGGTTGAGGGATTGGGTGAGTGGAGAGGAGACAATAAACTTGGAATGACACTTATGCAACTTGTTTTGATGTTTTCTCTACTTCCATTAACGAAGTCATTTCCTCATTTTTTAGGAACTTATTTTTCTAGAGAAAATGTTTGGACAAAACATAGGAAAAATGAAAGATGTTTTCATCCATACCAAACACACCTTCAGGTCTCATTTGTTTTCATTAAGATTAAGACTTATGAATTTGACTGTGAACATTAAATGATTTAGACTGTTTGTTTTTCTACATCAAAATGTGCATAATTTATTTATTTTTAAACATAAATATATTTTCAAAAATAAAAAAGTTTAAATATTAAAAATATATAAATTTAATAAAATAAAATCATTATTTGAATAAAAAAAAATAAACATGTATGTTCTCTAATGATTGTGGGATGGTCTGTGGTGGTGATAGTGGTGATGATGATCGGTATTGTAATGACTGCTATGAGAAAATCAAGAACCCATCAAATTTAGGCAACAAAAGTTGCTCTCTTAGTGAAATGATCAATTGACAAAAGTAAACCAATTACAATTGCAACACAATGGAAACTTGGAAGAAAGAGGATGAAGTAAACATTAAATAATTATACATCAGTAGATTGAAGAAATCCTTCGTTGCTGTCGCTGTTGAAAAGATATCTTTAGGAATACTCAAAGCAAAAAACTTGTCACACAATTCAAACCCACCATTTATGTGGATGTCTCCTATTTTAACCATTGATTTTTTTATCAAAGCATATTTAAAAAAAGAGGCTGCTGGATTTTGGAACTTCAAGATCCAGAATTTAACATACTTGCTGATGGTAGAATATCTACTCTCAACTCTCTCATTTCTCTCTATTTTCTCATAGAAATGTGTGTGCTTTATTTCCTATTTGTTTATATTTGTTTGGCTTAAGTTGTGGACATCTTGTTGGTCTTTTGAACTCCAATTACGTAACTGAAAACTATCATCAAAAATATATAAAATAAAGATGGAGAATTAGATTCGATAATACCCAAATGCGATTTGATAATTTACTAGTTCAAGAGAAAATTATTAGATTGATTGATTGATTGATTGAAGTTGAAAGAGATGAGGAAGGACGGAGTTGCTTTGATAAAGGAAAAACAAAAACAGTGCGTGAGTTTGAGTGAGAGAGAAACAAGTGTGGTGTGTCTGTTCAAGTAGTATTTTGATATATACAGATTTGTATTTTCTTCAGGAGAAATATGGTCCTAAAGGCCAAGGAAAAGCTTCAAATGGAGCTCCTGTCAAACCCAGCAGAGATGCAAAGCAAAAGCCTGATGTAGACATCAATGTTGGATTGTCAGACCGTCCACCTTGGTTTTGTAGGTCTGGTGAAGCTTTTTATCTTTGTCGTGTTGATTAAGCTTTTATAAGAATTGAAGAAAAAGGTTATGGATATTGCTTGACATGAAATGACACTTTTGTTGAAACAGATCAGATCATCCTTGTCCCAGTTAAATGTTTTTATTGCACTGTTGCTGCAACGGGAATATTATTTGTAGCTCAATAGGTTGTCTTCTACCAATCTTGGTTTATAATCACCAACTCCAAGTCAAAATGGTCTTTTGCCTCTTATCCCCTCATCTATCTGAAACTTTGTAACTGCTTCTCTTTCCTACCTTATTATCTCTTCCTTTTTTCCCTCCTTTTTTCTTACTGGCTTGTATAGTTGTATTAGTGGATTGCGAGACTTGTTTTTGATGCTTCATTTGTTAATTTTCTTTTCTAATGTTTTCTTCCTTCCCCTTTATCTAATATTTTTATAATTCATCCTTATTTGACCTCAAATGTTGTATCTGCAGTTTGTGTAATACCAATGCAACTAGCAAGCAGACTCTACTTCTCCATGCTGAAGGTAAGAAACATAGAGCAAAGGCACGAGCTTTCCATGCTGCTAAGCAGACTGAGCCAGCTGACGGTGGTGTGGAGGTCTCAAATGATAACAATCAAAAGAGCGAGATTCCTGAGAACAAAGCAGGTGAGGAATTGAAGGAGCAAAACTCAAAAGAAGCAGAAAATGATAATTCTCACTTAAATAAGAAAAGGAAAGACAGGGAATCTGAAAATGGTGGTGCCAAGCTATCTGCTGAATTAGATAATGGTGAAGTAATCCAGGTCGAAAAAGAACAGGAAACAAAACACAAGAAGAAAGCCAAAAATGAAACAGTGAAGCAAGATAAAGCTGTCGTGGACGGGTCTAACGGAAACGACAGCAAGAAGAAGATAAAGTGGAAGAAACTGATCACATCAGCTTTGAAATCTGTACGTGTTCTCCCCATTTCATCACTAATTTGCAACTTCTCTTTCATATACATCTTCATGAGCATTTCTTCCTCTTTATGTCACGTCTTAGAGACTATTTTATGATTATATGTATTGTCTGGTATTTCTCTTACTCTCTTGTTGCATTTGGGACAGAATTCTGATGGAGTTCTGAAGTTGAAGAAGCTTAAAAAGATCGTTCTGAAGTCTGTGAATGAGTCTGGCATGGTGGAAGATGACACAATTGAGCATAAGGTCAGCTAAATCCCTATCAAACCGCATGAGTGTTTCTTTCTTTGAATCCTTTGGCTAAATGTGTACGGTACTGATGTGATTCTTTGTTACTATTCCGTGCAGATAAATTCAAGTTCTAAATTCGTTGTTGATGGCAAATATGTACGATTGGCAACCAAAAGTTCCTGAAAATTCTTTCAATTCAGACGCCCTATAAGTTTTACAACCATTGTTTTAGGCAATCTATTGAGGAAAAAGAATACAATCTAGGGCCAAAGCTATAAAACAAGCTTCATTCATACCATTAATCTCTACTTCAATTTGAAGGAGTCTGTTCCGAAATTTTGTTTGTGCTAGATTATAGATAATAGTTTTTGTAAGAAAATTGTCGTGGATCATTATGTGATTTTATTTTAAGTTTGTTGGTTTATCAGCAAATTTGTGTGTTCACCTTTATGAAGAGCGTCAAGTTCTTATCATCATCATTCTCGTATCTCAACATGTTTGATGAAGATTTTGGGAAATTAGAAGTGTTTATTTAAAAAAAAACTATTTTCTGCTGCAGAAGAGCAACTTGGAAAGAAAATTCCACCTTAGAAACCTAAACGTTCAGAATTTCAGGACAAAAATACCTTCACCAAAACTTTGTTTGATCCCAACCTTAGTTTTCTGATTTTTTTTCACATTTTAATGAAATGAGATCACTAATGGACATCCCAGAAGGTGATATCTTGGACCAGCCCATATGGACTGGCAACACTGATGGTTCTTTTACTTGTATGTATGTCTGCTTGGCAAATTATAAAACAAAGTAAGAACTTTACTCTCTCAGCAAATAAAATTTGGCACAAAGGCAATAGACTGCCCATTGATGATATAGTCAGGAAATTTGAGGCCCCAGAGGGTGATGGAGCTTAGTAGCTTGGAAACTCTATGGAGGACAAAATCTGTTAAGATGGTGGCTCTCTAAGCCAAAAAATGAACTCCAATATCTGTTCTGTCCCTCAAGTGGTTATATGTTGGGAAATTTGAAAAAGATGTGCAGCTTTTAGTGGCACATTTCGGTCCTCTTCCCCATTACATAGAAAGTAAGCCACCGATCTAGGTATCGTTACCACCTAGACCTGTAATCGCAACAACCCACTTGCAAGACCGTCGCTATCTATAAATGGAGGTGATTTTTTGTCAGGAAATTGTTATTTCAAGATTCAACAGATGACATACACCCCTGTTAATACACAAATTTCCTCCCTCCCTTTCTTCATTGACTGGAAACAACTTCACTTTACAGCAGAGAGATGTAAAAATCTAATGGATGGAAGACTGAAGCAAGGGTTCTCTCTTTCTGTTCTAAAAGGAGAGTCTGTTTAACTTGTCGTACACATAAATCTTATAGTATTATTACAGCACTTTTAACATGGAAAATCATCCATACAAACGAGCAATTTCAATAATAAATCTGGATAAAACACTTAAGGAGGTAGATTTTTTCATGTGTATAGTTCTGTATAAGATTTTTCTTTTTTCTTCGTAAGAACATTTACAATTGGAGAGTTTGAACCCGAAAATGGCTTTTGACTTGACTACAGAACAAGTAACAACATTGATCATAATAGCTATGGCTAGTATGAAATTTTGCATCGCAGAAGCTACAAGAAGAGAGTTGCTGCTATAATAAGCAAGACAACAGAGCACACCATTGCCTGCATAAGAGTAAATTCTAAACGCTGTTAGGACTGTTTAACGCTTTAACACGGTATCAAGAGAAGCAAAAGATATTCAAGGGTCACTGAAAAGAAGAAAGGTAGAGAAATGCAATCTCAAGCATTTACTTTTTCCATCTTTTGATTGATCCATTATTTTGTTAAAAGCTTAGCAAGGGGGAAATGAATCAACTTACAGCAATAGCAGATGCAGCAAGCCCGGCACGTTCTCGAGGATCCTTACGGTAGTAGTTTCCAAAATAAAGTATCGTGGCATAATACCACATCAACGGGCATAGAAATCCCAGTAGAAATCTAGTAATAATAATAAACAATCAGATTTTCCAGAGAGAGAGAGAGAGTAACTGAGACTTATAATAGCACTTACGAAAACCATCCGACTCCGCAACCAAAGCAAGGAAGAGGTTTATCATAGAACCCTGTTTGAATGTCCTCTACATCTCTAATCAAGGTATACTTTCCCTTCTCACGGTCTTCTGCATCACCTGCTTGCCCTATAATCATGGTATATCCAACTCAGAACTTTGGTTTGCCTCAGTTATTTAAATATTTTGTGTCTCAGTGTGGACAGATGATTGGTAGATAGAAAAAGGTTGAGTCAAATTCAGAAGAACTTCTACAACAATACATGTCTTCACATTTACAATAGATACCAGGGAACTGAACATAAAGTTAGAAAAGATCCTTAACCCCAACAGCCCAAACAAAAGGAAAAGAAAACCTATGAACAATGCTAATGGGGAGAGAGGGAGAGAGACCAGAAAACTTAAATAGGTAAAAACAGGTATCAGAATAGTTTTCTTATGAAACATGTATCAAAATATTTTATCCTCACTCTGTGAAAGAGCCATAATAAGGCCTCAAAGAAGAAACTGAATGAAAGTAAAACTTGTGACATGAAAAGATAAAGATATATTTCAATGTACTTCAATCCTAAAGTAATTCTGCGTTTTTAGCTGAGTGTGAGAAAACAACATTGACAGCTTTTTGTTTTTCTGATTTGCAGAAGCTACAATAGATAAGACAAAGGTAGGGAACCTCCATAGATAGAAATTTATGAAGAAAATGATTCTAACAGCATTCTACTTCTTTTCCTGATCTATATGGGCCACACATAATAGAAATGAGCATTTCAATCTGCGAGCATTTATTGGATGCAGGCACAAATACAAGTTATTGTCATGGGAATAGGGTTTATCTTCCTAGGATAACCTAAAAGCATAACGGAAAAACATATGTCCACCACCCTTCGGGGTGGCCCAGTGGTTTGGGTTTGGGACTTCCATGTTGGAAGTCTCAAGTTCGAAACCCCTTGCAAGCGAAAGCAAGGGGTTTGCCTTCTGGGTCGAGCTCGTCGCACCGGGCTTGCCTAGTGTGGGTTACCTCTCCTATGTGGTTTGCGAGCTATTGCATAGGAGTGGGGGTTTTACCCTGTGCGCACCCTTGTTTCCCTTGTCATAAAAAAAAAACATATGTCCACCGAGAGCTATCCAGGTTGTGATCAGAATATAGAAGGCCAAAATAGTCATGGTATCCCAAAAAATAAAGAAAATGGCTAGTTTTGGATCACAACAAAGTTGACCGATCAGTTGGAAGGGGCACTCCAAAGGATTAGGGGGAAAAGTGGGTGAACTCCCAACAACTTACTTGGGCATGCCTTTAGGAGCTCAGAGCAAATCAAAGGACATATGGAGTGGTGTGATAGAGAAAAGTGAAAAAAAGTTGGCAAACTGGAAAAGTCAGTACCTATCCTCAGGTGGCAGACTCACTTTGGTGAATATTGTGTTGGATTCTCTCCCTTCATATATGATGTCAGTCTTCCCTGCTCCAGCTAGTGTGACTGAAAGATTAGATGCAATCAGGAGGAACTTTTTATGGAAGGGAAGTGAAGACAAGAAGAAATATCACCTAGTGAAGTGGGAGGAGCTGATCCAAAGCAAGAGAGGTGGGGGTTTAAGTATCAGAGAACTGAACACACACAACAAGAGTTTGATGATGAAGTGGTTATGGAAGTTTGCATCCCCAGAAGAAGCTCTATGGAAAGAGGTGATCAGATCAAAATATGGCATGCAGGATAGATGGATGACAGAGGAGGTGACACTCCTTATAATTGTAGTGTATGGAGATCCATCAGGAACCTATGGCAACTAGTTTCTACAAGAACAAGTTGCAAGGTTGGTAATGGAGAGAAGGTGGCTTTCTGGAAGGATATATGGTGTGGGCAGTGGCCTCTGATGCAGACATTTCCTGAGCTATACAACTTAAGCCAAGCTCAGGATGCTACTGTGGCTGAACTATGGACAGGACAAGGGTGGAACCTTCATCTTAGAAGGAACTTAAATGATTGGGAGATGACCTTTGTAGCAGCTTTTCTGAATACAGTCCCTCAAAACCTTAATCTTACAGAAGAAAGAGACAGTTTGGTGTGGAAGGTGGACAGCAAAGGTATTTTTACTGTCAAGTCAGCTTACAAAGACTTGACAGGAACAAATACTCAGGAGATAGGATGGCCATGGAGAATGATCTGGAAGACCAAAGTGCCTCATAAGGTAAACTACTTTACGTGGCTACTGGCAAAGGAAGCAGTCCTCACTCATGAAAACCTTAACAAGAGGAAAATCAACCTATGCTCTAGATGATATCTATGCGAAGAACAAATAGAGACAGTCAACCATCTCTTTCTACATTGTGTATTGACAGACCAGCTGTGGCAAATGTTCATCCACAAGAGAAAGATCAGGTGGGTGAAACCTGGGAGAATCAAAGAGGTGCTAAGAAGTTGGATCAGTGATGGTAATGCGGGAAAGGATGAGAGATGGAAGATGGCTCCTGCATGTATTTGGTGGACCATATAGAAAGAGAGAAATCAGAGATGTTTTGAAGGCAAAAAGAGCAACATACAGAAGATCAAGACAGATTGCTTAGGCCTTTACTATTTTTGGTGTAAACAAGTAGTTATAGACAGCACAGAGGATGTTTTTAATGCAATTGACTGGCTGTAATTAGATACGTTAGGACGTTGTAAAGTGACAACTTTTGTGAAGGGGGACTACACTTGTTGTAGTACACCTATTGAATATGTAGAAGTAAATTTACCATTCTCAAAAAAAGGGGCACTCCAAAGGACTTTTTCAGTTGGAAATTGCTACATTGTGATGCAATCTGACACCAACAGGGTTATATGGCCTTGGAAAAAGATTTGGTTCAATAGTACTCCTTTGAAGGTCTCTTGCCTTTCTTGGAATTTGGCTAGGGATGCTTGACTCACTTAAGTAAACAATCAAAAGAGGGGATTTCAACTTTGCAGCAAATGCCCATTGTGTGAAGAACGACCTAAAGAAGTCGGTCACCTTTTTTTGTACTGCCGGGTCACAAGTCAATTATGGGGCATGTCTTCGACAATACTTGGCATGTGTTGGACCATGCCTAGCTCCATTACAGAGCTTCCGCAGTGCTGGAACAGAAGGGCATATGCAAGAATTCTCAAAAGACTTGGAACATTATACTTCAGGTCATGGTAGTTGGTGAATGGTCTGGCTTGAAAGAAATAGCAGAATATTCTAAGGCAATAAGAGAAACATTAACCGCCTCAAAAATGGATTTATTTTTTGCTTGCTTTTTGGTGCAAACTGGTCATTGTACGAGATGTTCATGCAATGCTACACACAGTAGAGAATTTGCACGGCTTGTAATTACGCCTGATGCACTGGCTTAGTTCAAGCTTTTATAAAATTTCTTATTACTTATAAATTTAAGAAAAGACTACCTTTCGACACTGAATAATATCGAGCTGAGGGCCTCAAAAGGTCAAGATGTTTTTCAGATGCTGATTTCACGAGTTCAACAGTATTTCTGCCCTCTCCAGCTTCAAGAGTAGCCCCTGTTAAACCCAGATGTCCAATTAATCATGGCTACAAAAATTCCTTCATCTAAAATTCAGTACGAGTATTAAATCCTCCAATTGCAAATGAAGGGTAAACACAATTTTTCCTGAAAAAATATGCATATTCTAAACCAAGTAATATACATATCCTAGAAGAGTTCAATATGTAAAACTTCAAACAACTGTACAAAGTGGCACTCATTCATAAGCATTTCATCATGCAGTAACAACTTTTTGACTAACTTGAACTCAACATTTAAAGATAACTACAAGAAATCTAATGGAATAAGACATAAAGTAGAAATTTATCACGGGCTACATGAAGAATGCATCACCAACAAACAAATATATACAGTGATCAATGTAATCGCAGAAAACTCTGTCGGAAATCTGAAAAATGAGATAGCAAATTAGGTTAGGTAGACTAAACGCTTACCTTTGTCCATGTATAGTTCTTAGCTGATGGCTTCTACCTTCCAAGTATTTTGAGTTATCCCCTCTGCTTGACCTTCAGATAACCTACTTTGCATGATCAAATAAAGGACTTCAACCTTACTAATTTACCATGTGATAAGCAATAACTCATTGAGTAATGCCGGCAAAGTTGGAAAACGAACGAGCCACTAATTTTTCCAATTGATTAAGGAAGAATAGATTATATCTAGCATTGTTAAGCGTAATTGTGTCAATACCAGGGGTGTGCAAAAATCGAACCGACCGATAAACCGAACCGAAAAAAGTGTTATTGGTTTATTGTTATTGGGTTATTGGGTTAACGGTTATTTAATGGTTTTACAAAAAAAAATTATTGGGTTATCGGTTCCTTATTGGTTTTTTAATATTGGGTTATTGGGTTAACCGATAACCCATTAAGAATATAATAATTTACTATTTTAATTTTTAGTTATACATATATATGTATATTATACAAAAAATATTAATATAATTAATAGTATATTAGACTAAAAATATAAAA